TTTATTATTTCTGATTGGCCTGCTGATTAGCCGCCGGGCTCTGAGCATGCTCTCCCCCCTCATTGGGTGTTTGATCATGCTTACCTCTCCACAATGATGATTAAATTAAATCTGCACTGTTCATATTTTATTGAATTCTCATGTTGCAGAGCATTGTGTGATTTTATCTTTTCGTCCTTTCCTCTTGTGGCATTTGCTTTTACCTGTTGAATATATTTACCTTTGCAACAGCAGCATTTGGCAAATAGTAAGCAACTAAATCAAACTCTAAAATACATAATTGTGTTAAGTTATATGGCTTAGTTTTGCAAAAAGAGTACAGCCTAAAGGGATAGTTTACCCAAAAATGAACATTTTACATTTAGTCATTTAACAGATGCTTTATTCCAAAGCAATGTGCAAAAACTGGGATGATAGAAGCACTTCAGTTCACCAGAGAGCAGCGATATAAACGCAATGAAAAGTCCAAGTTGGTTTCGTTTTTTTTTATCTAACAAACAGAAAAAAACAGGAATTGCTGGCAAGTGCTATTGTTAGTCATGTAAGTGTTGATGAAAGTATGTGTCTTCAGATGTTTCTTAAAGATGACCAGTCTAAGATGTCCGTCTAGAGCAGAGATGCAGAAAGTAGGGTCCGCAGGCCAATGCCAACTGAATCAGTCGAGGCTCGAACCAGCGACCTTCTTTCTGTGAGGTGATCGTGCTACCCACTGCACCACTGTGAGGCCCTCAAAATGTAAACTAATATTCATTCATTTTCTTGTCTGCTTAGTCCCTTTATTAATCCAGGGTCACCACAGCGGAATGAACCGCCAACTTATCCAGCACGTTTTTACGCAGCTTATGCCCTTCCAGCCGCAACCCATCTCTGGGAAACATCCACACACACACACACACACACACTCATACACTACGGAAAATTTAGCCTACCCAATTCACCTGTACCGCATGTCTTTGGACTGTGAGGGAAACCGAAGCACCCGGAGGAAACTCTATATACTCTAAATATATATATTTATATATATATTTTCTAAATATAATTAAAATAAGAAGTTACCATTGCAACTTCATTATAATTCAGTTTGGTATATTTAGCTTTGGCCCACCACCCTCAATCAAGTTTGGTTTTTGGCCTGGTTCCCGAGACGCCCCTTGTCCTGAGGGTTGTCAAGAGAATTTGGTGGTTAACCATGTCAAAAGCAGCAGACAAATCCAGCAACATGAGCACTTAGGATTTATGCAGCTCTCACATGGTTTCAAATCTTTACAATCTTTTGTTTCTTGCAAACTTGTAACCACTAACTTCCTTAGTAGGAAAAAAAACTAATACTGTGGAGATCAATGGTTACAAGTTTTCAGCATTTTTCAATGTCTTCTTTTGTGTTTAACAGGAAAGGATCTCCAACTGGCTTGTGACAAGTGAATGGTGAGTAAATGATGACAGAACTGTGAGTATTACGTGAACTATTTCTTTAAGTATGAACATTTGCAAAGGTCAGTTAAGTTAAACCACAGATTGAAACCACATTTTCATCTCTCTAAAGGGACTTGCAGCTTTTTTAATTGTTTTTGACGCTTGTCAATAGGCAACGTCATTTCTGACTGCGGTTGTAAACGGAGGCGAGAGCGTCAAAGGTCGCTCTGGCAGCCCTGGTGACAATGCTATCTGCCTTCAGATCCGGTAGCGAGAGCAAGTGGTGCTCACTGCAGAGCCAATTGGACAGCTGAGCTCCACCAAGAGGGAGCTTGAGCTCAAGCTCCTTCTTCCTTGCACTTCTTCTACAAGTGATGTCACTTGGGGTTGGGGCAATGACTGTAAAAAATATGGACGACGCGACAGCCCCTTTTCCCATTGAACACCTTGAGGGAAAAACGCCTGCTTGACGGGCACAAACTGTCGCAAAAGACTGCTGAAATTGGAGCCTTGACATGCGCAGAAGGACTGTCTGATGGAGCCAGAGGAGGAGCCGTGAAAATGAGCGGAGTCGAGCTTCCAACCAAACGCTTTATGTAAAATCAACCACGCCCCCCGAACTGCTCAGCATGCGTTTGCTGTCATATCAACACAAATGGTTGTAATAACGTTAACAAATATGAGGGTTTTATATATTCAATCGTGCCAGCTCCGGGCCGCAGCGCATAACCTACTCGCGGCGTCGTGGGCTAATTCCGGCTCGCATGCGGCAGCGCCGGCTCGGGCTGGAATCGGGCAGTGAGTCCAGGCATCCGGAGAAGGTCCAGCAGAGGTAGTCAGTCTGAGCTCTGAGGGGTAAGTCTCCGGCAATCGAGAATCTAGCCGGAACTGGCCCGAGTGTATTTTGCTATCTGGGTGGTTAGGCGTGTATTAGCAAACTAATAAAGCCCGAAAAAAGCCCTGACCTTAGCGAATAAACAGTGTTCCACCAGGATCATGTATGTCAGAAACTGTAGTTTACTGCTGAACTCATTTTGTCATGGTAAAATAACACAGAAATCGAATAATAACACTTCAGTCTTCTGCCGAAGCTCAGACGCGCTGCTTTGAGAAACTGTCAATCACAATGAAACGCCCAGCATTAAATTACTGCTAAAAACAAACTGTTTACAAAAATGAAGATCTGCACCTATTTCAGTACAATAACCAGTGCCTTAATCGACCTGAACCATCTTTCGGGACATTTTATTGCAAGTGTAATATTTTTTTTTATTTGGGCTCAAGTCTCCTTCATTAACACGGAGGCGGGCTTTATGACTTGTACTGCAGCCAGCCCCCAGAGGGCGATCTAACGACCGAGACCTTCACTCAAACACAGGGTTGCGGCACACTTGGGTTGGGGTTAGGAGTGGGGTGGGTGTACTCATTAAAACAGCTTATAGGAGGAGGAGTTGGAGCTCAAGCTCCTTGCTGGAGCTCAATTGGCTTTGCAGCAGCAGTGACGTCTCTCAAAATTCGCTACATCCCAGCCGGCATTTCAACGGTGATTCAACGTTGAATCAACGTCAGGTCTATGGTTGGATCAACATTGAATTACCTTTCGATTTTGCAAATTGGATCAACGTTTATATGGTGACGTTGTTTCACCGTCGGACCACCACCGGTGATTCACCGTTGAATTCACAACGTTGTTTCACTCTTACCTTCTTCATGGGTGAATTGTGGTTGTTTTGTAGACGTTGAATGAAGGCAGTGGCGTAGCGGACGGGCCCGCAGGGCACGCACCGCGGGGGGGCCCCGCGTGATTAGGGGGCCCCACGTCGTCGCGATTTTCAAAAATTTAAAATCCAGGAACCGCAATAATCAAACTCTTGGGAACAACTGTGGACGGAACCAAAGTTCACAGGTCTGTGTTCTCTGAACACCTCTCAAGCGGTGGACTACTTCATTCTGATTGCTTGCCGCCGAACCGCGTCATAGCCAATGAAGACGCGCCGCTGTTTCTCGCCACCGGTTCTCGTTAAAAAATGAATGACTTCTGGCTACTTTGACGCTCTCGCCGCTTTCGGTTTGTGATCGCTCCTCAGTTTGTGAAGGATTCCCTGCGTTGTCGCTCCACTCCGCCTCATTTCCCCGCACCTCAATTTGTGACATAGATATATACACTAGATATTGTATAGGGACCCTGAGCATGCGTCAATAGCGCCGCCACATTGGTACAGTGCTCCCAGGACAAATGTCATTCAGTCGCACTAGACAAGTGTTATTACGTGAAGATGCGGGACTGTAGCGCTGTCTACGAGTGTAGTAACGAGCAAACAAAGAAAACAAAGCACAAAGGCAGAACATTCCATAGGTAGGATTAAGTTTTTTACGTTTTTGTATGTTCTAAAATTTGTACTAAACAGGTAGCGTTATTGATAATGATACAGCCACTTACTGCATTCAATAAGTCAAAGTAGCTCCAATTCGCACTAAATACTCGGTTTATGCTAGCTTTGTTGAATAAAATCAGCAAACAATGAAAAAGAAATGACAACGAGATGCTGCGGTGCCAGAAACTTGTATTATTGTCGGCTAGTGAAGGAGTCGTTCATAATGGAGATTTGTTTGTGAATACTCCGTCAGTATGAGGAGTGAAAGCAGGAGAGGAGCTGTGTTTCAGGACATGATTAGATCAAATTTAACAGGGAGGTGGATAGTACATTTCTGTACACACAAACACAAGCTTTTTGTCAGGAATGCCCGTGCGGTCACCCCCCCCCCCCCCCCCCCCCACCCCTTGAAAACTGGGGGCCCCATCGGTGATCCCTGCAGGGGGGCCTCCGCATTTTGCGCTACGCCACTGAATGAAGGTTGAATTTACCTTTCGGTTTTGCAAATTGGATCAACGTTGATACCGTGACGTTGTTTCACCGTCATACATTTCAACTAAGTTAAATAGAAATTAGGCTACATATAACACAAAGTCAATAAATATAGCAAACAAATTTTTACTAATAAAATACACGACAAAAATACACAACTTAGCCTGTGTATCAATTTATTTAATACACACCTAATTATTTCATTTATTATAAATATACAGCAACATACAGCATACATCGTTCATTAAAACCATGCGCTCAAATACAGAAAAAGGCATACAATTAAATGGTCACTTAAAAGTATAAAGTTAGTTTATGTTTACTAACATGAACAAAGAACAAATACTTGTACAGCATTTATTAATCATTTAATTAATTGAAATATGTCCCAATGCTATTAAAATCAAAATGTATGCTGATATTTAAAGGGGCCGTTGCAGCATATTAGTTACATTCCCGCATAAAACAGGCTTTCTAGTGTGAAAATGATACACTTTTTATCAAATTCATTTAACAGTGAAAGATCACGTTGCATGTGGTCTGACATTGCTCCATTTATTTGTCCAATGTGTCCATATGTCTGATATTACCTGAAGCAGCAATTCTGCTTTGTACTGTCGCATGAGATTCCCGCTTTTTTAAAGAGGAAAATAGGCTAGGCTATATGCCATTAATGCACATCAGTAACTCAGTAACTTTTTAATGTATGTTCCTGCAAGAAAACATTGCAAAATACAAATAATTGTAAATCCAGCGACTGAAATAATCAAACCCTTGGGAACAACTGTGGTCAAAACTAAAGTTCACACTCAGGTCTGTTCTCTGAACTCTTCTCAAACGGTGGACTTTTTATTTTATTTTAATTTTTATGGCATAACAAGAACAACAGCATACAAAAATGAGTAATACATTGCTTTTTCACATCCAATCAACAAATCAGTAGAAAAAAAACAGGAAAAATAAATAAAATACAGGGGATACAAATTACAAAAAAAAAAAATCGGAAAAGAAAAGGATTCCAAAATTGCATACATCCTTATTGCTTTTTAATTTTTTTTGGTATCTTTTCGGGTTTTGATATAATGCTTAAGATCAATTTGGCACATCGTTGGATCAGTTTTGTTTGTGTATGGTACTTCCCATATATTATCATATGATATTAGGCTAATAAACAATTTTTGCTCCTAAGTTTTGTTATTATCATTGTATATCAAAAAATGTCTTTACAAGAAAAAATAATTTGTAATTTTGTGAGTTTAAATATAAAAAACAGGTGTTTAATCAATTCCTCCTCTAATTAATTCACAAAAAGTGCACGTAGATTCCATGTCTCTAAGAAATATATAGCAACTTCTTTCACTGGATAAATTAAATGTATTAGTTTATACTGTCATTACCATAAAGTTAACTTGATGTCAAGTCTTCTCGACGTCCACACCGGCCAAGACGTGCCGCACTGCTTCTCGCCGCTTATCGCCGCCGCCTCTTATTGAAAATGAATGACTGCCCCGGCTACTTTGCTTTCGGTGTGAGAGGAAAGACCTCTTTTTGCGTTGACTCATGCAAGATGCATCCAGATGTCCAGCACGTCTATACAACTGGAATCATCTCCCTACGGAAGGGGAAAAGGGAGGAGCAAACGTTTAATCTACTATAAATACACCAGCTTCACTGACAGTCGAGCGGACTAATGTGCTTGAGGGTTTCGTGCACATGGCTCAGATGGAGATGGTCGAGTTTGGTGTGGAGCAAGGGCAGATGCTACAGGTCCTGATGCGACACTGCCAAACCATGAAGCGGCAGGAGACTCGACTGCGCCTGGCCACTGCTCTGCTGCTCACCGCATTCCTCGCGACGTCACTCTGGCTGCAGTTTCACTCCAACACCTCTACGGTAAAGTACATTTCATTTTACTAGCGATTTGAAGCTTTTCGTAGCTATAAACTGCATCGGTAAATGATCTAGACGTTGTTCTGTTTTTCTCCAGGATTCATTTGCAGGTGCCCATACAGAGGCTTTGAAAGCTAAAAAAACACATAAGAGGCAGTCCGTTCATCTAGAACGTAAGTTTCATTACTGCTAAACTACTAAACTGATTTCATTTGTTCTATTCCCCGTAAAATAATCTTAAAAGAGTAGTGTCTCGTTTATTACATTCATTCACACTATACGTTCTCCATTTATAAAAATGCTCTTGTATTCCAACACTTTCACTTTCTAATCCACCTCCTTTAACCACCTTTTCTGTTTTCTAATTATTTAGTGTTTCGTTCTATAAAAAAGTAACCTGGCCTAACTAAATAGAATAACCAATGATCATATTGTTTACACAATTGTATTCGTGTTACTTTTTTATTTTGCAAAAGATATAGCATTCTGTTAGCCTACTACACTGGACTACAAATCAACTGATTTGTAATTTTCTTTTATCACACGTCTTTTTTATTCCTGATAAATTATGAATATTTTAATATAGCCTATCCATGCAGGGTTTGAAATAAGATCTATTCTGCGTGGGTTCATTTGTGATTTCAGGAAAACAGTGAGTGGTGAAAGCTCAAACATCCACAGAAAAATGGCAGAGATGCACATCGACACAAAAAACTTGAATGGTTTTGTTTTGTCAGCCTAATTGCTCATTGACAGAAAAGGATTGTACAGTTAAAATAGTATTTAAGAATATGAATAATGTGCATGTTAGCAATATTGTATATGTATATTTCTTTAATGTTTAAAGTACATTATTTGTAGTTACAACTTAATTATTGTTCTGCAATGTTAGTATTTATGCAGAGCTAAATATAGAGAAAGTCAATGTGTTTCTAGCAATCTTAAATCAAAGCTAAGCATACATCCTATTTGTTTCCCATAGATAGGTTTCAGCTGAAGGGCATCCGCTGTGTAAAACATATGCTGGATTAGTTGGCGGTTCATTCCGCTGTGGCGACCCCAGATTAATAAAGGGACTAAGCTGAAAAGAAAATGAACGAATACATGTACATCATATTTCAGTATGAAATATAAGCTGTTATTATGTTTCATTTTTGTGTCAGCTTTATTTTTGTAATTGAAGATATGAAGCCATGCAGTTAAATCTATTTGAGCTAATTGTTAAGTAACTAAGTTAAGTCTATATATGGTCATGTAGTAATCATTATTAAAATTAAAGCAAATGGTTGGTGAACACTCTAAGTGTGCATTATATGTTTATTAGGCCACATGTTTAATATGTCTGCTGGCAGTACTGTATGTTTCATGTGAATTTATATCTAATGCTCTGTCTCTAAGGTTTTAAATAAATTAATATAAAGAAAAGGCTCATTTTAACATGTTACAACTAATTCAGTTCTTTGTAAAAATTTAACATTTTTACCAATTACCCTAAAATAAGTTAAACCTTAAACATTATTTGATAAATTTATTTTCAAGGAAATTATCTTTCTAAATGTTTAAAAAAAAAAAAGTTTTTCCAGAGCACTCATGTAAATGAGTAAAACCTGGACATCCGTGTGTGTTTAGTTTGTATCTTTAGCGGCCTTAATTTGGTGTGTCTTTGACAAATATCAATAAACACAAACAAACCAATAAATTTTATTTTACTATTTAAGATAAGCCATTTAGGGGGGCCATCATGGTAGTGCGACTGGAAGACATTCCGTTTGCTTCTCAAATCTTACCTCTGGCAACAAACACGCAGCCTACGCGTTTCTAGCTATGTAGTGGCGCAATAGTAACTAGTGCAAACCAGTCTGCTCTTTAAAACTATTTAAGGTTTCTTGAAGCTCAGACATGTTTTACAAAGACTATGTTTAAATCATTGCTTTAATTAGTAAGAACAAGAATATCAGCATATGTTTGACGTCAGATCATTTCCAGTGTATTATGCATCCTGGTGCAATTCAACCCCTGGTGAACACCTGCCATTAAAGTTATGTGTAAATAACTAAGCATTTTTTTTTAGCAAATAAGCAGTATAGATTTGTGTTTTGTGAGTCTTACGTTCACTTGTTGTTTTTGTTTTTTCTTTCAAATCAGCTAAAAGCAAGTCTAGTCCAGAAAAGCAGCTCCTGGAGTGGTACTGGAGGAATGAGAGCCCTTACTTGGACAATTTCAACCTGAAAAATGCTACAGAGCTTCACATTTCCAAAAAAGGTCTCTACTTGATCAATCTGAAGATGTCTTATCGTATAGCCTATGGTCAGTGTCAAGATAATACTGACAAAATAATGACTTTAGAGGTCAACGTGACACAGGAGCACAGCAACTATGAAGGGGAGAGAGTGATTTTAAAGGGTAGTGAGTCGATGCTTTGTAGCGAATATTGGCTGCAGTCGATGACTTTGAGTCGACCGATCATGCTAGAAGACAACTCCAGTCTCAGGGTGAGAATTAAAAAGGATAATTTCAAATTTGTCAGCTGGTCTGAAACCACGTATTTAGATGTCACTTACCTCTAACTGCCAGATGATAAAGATGCACATTTTTAAGAAATCGCATATTAATCACCCACTATTTAGATGCTTAAATAAATGAGCAAATTCATTGAGAGGTTTACTCTCATTCATAATTCTGAAATTGTTATTAAATAACATGATAATAATCTGTTTTGTTTTTATATAAACTATCTTTTTTGCTCTGCTAGCCAAATTGGACCAAAATGTTGGTACTGCCGTTGAAACGATGTGCATGTTTTACATTAAAACTGTTTGAATATGCATTTATGTACTTTTTCATTGAGAGATGTTTATTGTCAATTGATTTCAAAAATCAGATCTGTTCATTTTACCTTTACAATTGTGTATTTCCGTATTTCAGAATGTAACATCATTTTAATCAACTCACAAATGTCCTTTCAGGTTAAAATTCAAATAAAAAAATTTTTGCAAATATATTTTATTTTTTATCTTCTTTTATTGTAGGTGTACCTTAATGGTTTTCACATAAATAAACTGTTAAAAGTGACTGGCGCAGTAGGTAGTGCTGTGGTCTCACAGCAAGAAGGTCGCTGGTTTGAGCCTTGGCTGGGTCAGTTGGTGTTTCTCATGTTCTCCCTGCGTTCGCATGGGATTCCTCAGGGTCCTCCGGTTACCCCACAGTCCAAAGACATGCGGTAAAGGTGAATTGGGTAGGCTAAATTGTCCGTTGTGTATGGATGTTTCCCAGAGATGGGTTGCAGCTGGAAGGGCATCAGCTGCGTAAAACATTTGCTGGATAAGTTGGCGGTTTATTCCGCTGTGGTGACCCCAGGTTAATAAAGGGACTAAGCCAAAAAGAAAACGATGAATTAATGAATGAATGAATCTCATAATGCAAAGTGTAAATAAAAGAATAAAAAAATGGTGTCCTCACAAGCTTTGGCCAACATTTTAGTTAGCAATAAGGTTTTACAGTGTACTAATACCATTAAGAATGCAGCCTACATTCAATTCATATTTATTTCTGGAAGGCATTTTACAATGGAGATTGTGTCAAAACAGCTTAGCATACACTGAAAATAAAGATTCAAAGATGACTCCTTGGATTTACTAAAATTTTTTATGTAACGTTTTTAAATTAATTTATTTGGGCTGAATTTAAACAAACAAATTAAGTTGAACATTGCTAAATTTAATTTGTTTGAATTCAACACAAATAAATAGTTTGCAACAGTTTTGCAGAAACCTTTTTTTCAGTGTAGAAGAAGAAAAAAAGCGCTCATAATGACGAAGACAGTTTATATAAAATGTATATAAAATTATAGCACAATTAAACAGCTCAAGTTGACCAATGTGTTTCACAAAAACTAAAAACCTGAAACAGTAAAAGTCATAGACAAAATACAAAGTATAAAAGAAAAAATATTAACTTTTACCTGCTCGAAAGCCAGTAAAATATGGGATAAATCCCAGTTCATGTGTTAAAAGCTTTGTCAAACAGGAAAGTTGGATTTAACTTGGATTTAAAAACAAACAGAAATGCCAATCTAATGGAAAGGGGTCAATCGTTCCCCCTTTAGGAGCAGCTACAGAGAAAGCTTGATCGCCCGACAATTCAGCCTAGACGCAGGAATCAGAAAATCTCTGATTTGATGAGCGAAGTGATCTGGTTGAATGATTCTCAGTCAAAAGGGCAGAAAGTTAATTTGGAGCTAAGCCATTTAATGATTTTTATTTTTTAAAGTACAAGTTTTAAATATTTCAATATATAATTTCATTTGAAATAGATTATTCTAGCAATTCAGGCAGATAGAAGAGCTGAAGAGTTACAAAGTGATATTAGCCCATTCGAATGTTATCACTCGATTGAATGCTGTCAGCAATGGTAGGCTCAGAAGGCTGTTATTATCCATCCATATGGTAAATTAGCTATGGATCACATACGGCTGTGGCCAGAAGTTACAGAGAATTATTTTTATTATTTATTAAATTTCCCAATAATTGTAATTTTTTAACATCTACCCCAACCCTAAACCCAACCGTCACAGTAATGTAAAAACAGATCTGGATGTGGATGGCTGATAACAGCCTTCTGAGCCTACCAGTAGGCCTCTACTGGCCCATATCTATCAGCTGATAACCACTGATGTTGCCCATTATCGAGCAAGAACATTCTAAGTGGGTGGTGATATGACCCGATGCATAAACATGCATTTAAATCTTACAGATTGTTCAGCAGTTTACATGTGTCTGTTGCCGAAAATGTGCGGTAAATTTCCCAACATACATGTTAAACTACCAAAACATGCAGTTAAACAGAACTTATGCCTCTTCTACAGTAAGTGACAGTGAATAAACTTTCGTCTTTTCCTGTAATGTGCATTCTGACGAGCTGTAAACTGATGAAATGATTTCAATCTTTAACGATTGACCAGTCAAATGTTGGTAACACTTTAAGGTTCTTGTGTTGAGTTAATGTTAGTCAGTGTATTTACCAATGTGAACAAGTGAATGATGTTGCACCTCCTCGTGAAGTTTGATAATGTTTGGACCAGAAAGTAACTCAACAAGCAGATTCACACAGTCTTGCACATTGTTTCCTCTGGTTGGTATGGAGATATGCTGGTGGGAACAGAGAGGAAAAATCAATCTTTAACAGTAGAAGATTAGTAAAAAAGTTATGACTGCCTGCTGGCTAATGAACAGTGCTTAATGTTTTGCCAAAACCATTTTCAACACTTGTTTTTTACACATTATTATCAATAAGATTAACTATTGTTTAACATTCCTGAAATCCTTTTCGTTCCTGCTGGATTTTTTGCCATTTATTTTTATCTCAGAATTATTTATTGGACCTCCCTGTTTCCTGTTGGAGTTTTTCTTCCATTATCCAGACTTTCCTTTGGCTTCATATTTACTTCATATTTATAGTTTCAAACAATAAACAATTTAAGCTAGAATAAGGAGGGATTAAGGAATCCCACTAAATTAAATGGTTAAATGCCAACTGATGGTTTCTCTGCAGTTTCATTAACATGATCACATCTGGCATTTCAGATGGGTTTGTGTAGATCAAAATGTACCATCAGCAAGGAACAAGAAAAGGTATTGACATCAATCCTTCGAAACTGATCTAATATGTGATCTGCAGCCAGTGCATTTCTATGTCAAACAGACCTCAATTACCACACAAAAAGTTCAGCTTTTTAAATTCTTATGTTTATATCACATTTCTTTAAAATTGAGCAATGTTGTTTTTTTTTTTTTCAAACGCCCTGCGATCTGAAGAAGTTTGAGCGTTCTGCTGACTGAAAGATGTTTGGGCATAAATGCTGTATTTACACTGGGAAAAAAAACTTTGAAAAAAATGCAATTTTCTGGCAGCAGTGGCGGCAGGAAACAAGCATAAAAATGTAGATAATCTGTAAAAATAAAAATAAAATTTTTTTAAAGTAATTTCTTGCTCCATAATAACAAGTTATTACTGTCATTTAACAGATTTTAACTGTAATGAAACAGGTAAATACTGCTTTTTACTAATTATTACTGAAAGTCTACAGATTATTACTGTCATTTTACAAATTATTACTGTAAATATATAATTTATTACTGTCTGTATACAGATTAATAAATGTGATTATAAAGATTATAACTGTAATTATACAGATTAATTAAAGTGATTATACAGTATACTTCATTTAATCTCTAAATATTACATACTTTTTTTTACTTTAACATACCTTTAAAACCGAAGCTTAAAAATCTTTTAAAGAATTATTTAAAAAGCTCAGGTACAAATAACTGCTGTTGTAATAAAACAATAAATATAACTATAAAGTATAATATAGTTTAACAAATATTTTGAGGATATGTAGGTAAAACTCTAAAACAATTTGCCTGAAAAATACAAATAACACATTTGGTCATCATTTAACAACAAAAACAAGGTTAGTGTTGTGTGAGTACGCCTGAAAATCAAAGCTGAGGAATAGCAGTTTATTAAAAGAATCATCTTGCAATCAAAGGTTGAAACAAGAACAAACAGGTGCAAACAGATAATGCCAAGCATAAAGGCGGCAAAGAAACAAAGCTAAGGGTCAAACACAGCAAGGCAAAGGAAACTGCATCATGAACTGCATCACTAAACAGTTTAGCAAAGCTCAGCAACGACGTGTCTGTGTGTGCTGAGTTTATAGTCTTTGAAATCAGTCCAAAATAAACTTCTGACTGTCTGTCAATGACTGTATAAGGGTACTTAGTAAGAACAAAGAGCTTAAAATCACTTGATCAATGAATTAATGATTCTATGCTCTTTGATAAGAATCAGGAACATGTGTGTGCGAGGTACATGCTGGGAGTTGTAGTTTGTTAACATAGCATGCGTGTTCTCCAGTGATCTGCAGCCGCTAGATCCTCCAGCAGCAGGCTGTCCAGATAAAGGCCAAAGGGATGACCCTATCAGCCATAGCAAGACCAGTTGATCATTCCAAATCTGTGATTTCAAGAATATTGAGTCTTTGCAACATCAGAAACTCATTCAAGTCCCACAAGAAGGTTGGTCATTCACGGAAGACAAATAATAGAAAGGACAGGATGCTGTGGAGGACTTCAATGGGCAATCATTTCCACACTGCAGCTGAATAGCTCACCAGTTCAGTGCTGAACAGGGTACAGATATGTATCGTCATACAGTGTTTCAACGTTTAAAAACATTTGAACTGGAAGCCCACTCAGTGACCAAACCTATTATTAAAAGAAAGAATCAAAAGGCTAGACTAAGCTTTGCTGAGAAGCATGTTGTGTGGACAGAGGAGAATTGGTCCAAAGTTCACTTCAATGATGAAAGCAAGTTTAATTTATTTGGGTCTGATAGGAAACATTATGTTTGGAAAAAAACTGGAGAAAGACTGAACCCAAAGTGTGTAAAGAAGTCAGTGAAAAGTGGAGGAAGTGTCATGGTGTGGGGTATGTTTTCTGCAGCAGGAGTTGCGCCTCTTATACAGCTACATGGCAGAGTGAATGCAAATGTTTTTCACAACCGTCTTCAACAACTTATAGTTCCTTCCCTGCGTTCATCACCCAATTAGCCCACAGTGTTCATGCAGGTCAACGCTATGTCACACAGCAAAACGGGTAAAGCAGTTCCTTGAAACTAAAAACATTGAAATAATGACATGGCTTGCCCAGAGTCCTGATCTCAACCCAATAGAGAACCTCTGGAAAATCCTTGGCGACACAGTTATGGCCAAGAAACCCACAACAGTCACCAAACTGTGGAGGAGACTGGAAGAAGAGAGGACCAAAATCACACCAGAGCAGTGTGAGAGGCTAGTGCTGTTCTGTGGCCGCAGCTGTGCTGAAGTCATTCAGAGCAGAGACCTGTACACTTTATACTAATTGCTGACTGTTGTAGCCTTCAGATAATTTTGTTGTAATCTTTTTCCATGCT